GCCCCCTAAAGCATCAGGACTTGTCTGAAACGTGGTGAAATGAATCCTGTGGCAATCCATGGCTATAAAATGTTCAGAAGGGGCTGGCAAGGAAAAAGGGGTGAGGGGTTTGCTCTCTGTGTAAAAAATGTGATTGACTGCACAGAGGTATCTTTGAAAAACAATGATGAACAAGTTGAGAGCTCATGGGTAAGAACTGGAGGGCAAGCCAACAAAGGAAACCTTGTAGTGGGTGTTTACTACAGGCTGCTGATCAAGGGGAGTCTGTTGACAAAATGTTCATACTCACAGCCTCTGATCCTGCTGGGAGACTTCAATCACCCTGACATCTGCTGGAAAAGGAGCACAGCAATCTGCAAGCAATCCATGAGTGTCTTGGAGTGCAACGAGGATAATTTCTTCATCCAGGTGATAGACAGTGGAACCAGAGAGGAAGCATCACTAGACTTGTTGCTTACCAGCACAGGTGAACTAAATGGGGGTTTTGACTGTTTTGTTCATTTATTTTTTTTTTTTTTTTATGTTTTCAAATGTTAGAGATGTCAATATTGGCAGCAGCCTGGGCTGCAGTGATCATGTCCTGGTGGGTTTCACAAGCCTGAGGTAGAGTCAGGACACTGAATTTTAGAAGAGCAAACTTTCTGTTGTTTAAGGAATTAGTGGATGGGACTCCCTGGATACCTGTCCTCAGGGATGAAGGAGCAATACAGTGCTGGCTGCTCTTTAATGACATATTTTTTAAAGCACAGGAGCTCTCAGTTCTTCTTTTGGAGCAGCTGTCAGAACTGTACAAATTAAATGCCCAGGGAGGCTGGTGTGACCATAGTTTCAGATTAAATCACTACATTGTTGCGATACTATTATTGGAGTGGGAATGTTGAATGCTCCTTTGGCTGTCTTTGCTGCAAAGCATGAAACTAAAAATATGTTTATCATTTGTAAAGTTGAAGAAAAAGACCCTTAGTAAGTGTGTGTAAATATATAAAGTTTTTGGTGATTGCAGTCCATTGGTATTTGGATAAGGCCATGTATTGTGTTTTAAGTGATGTTTGAACATTACACTGATACTTGGAGCTGCCACATGCACCAGTGTACATCTTAATACCTGTGACTAAATCATAAAGGAAAATATAACTGTACAGAAGTCAACAGTAAGTTACAAGACTGCTTTTATTAAGACATCAAAATTCTTCTAAACAGACTCAGTCACAACAGCAGCTTCTGCTGAGCATCCAAAGCATCAAGGACAAGCTACTGCTTTGCATTTCCTCTGCAAACTAGTGCTCAGCTTTTGTAAATGGCATAACTCCACCAAAATCAACAGGCAGATCTCTAGTCCCATCACCTTCGAGGTGATCAGGAGTTCAGGACTGTAAGTACTAAAAACTAGAAAAATATTTGTAATAAAATAGCTTATTCTTTCACTGTGTGCAGAAGGCAAACATATCATATATTTGAGAGAAAACCGAGCAAAAGTTAAGAGACTCCTACATAACAAAACCAAGGGTTATTTTGAGAAGCTGTGGACTCCCCATCCCTGGAATTGTTCAAGGTCAGGCTGGATGGGGCCCTGAGTAACCTGGTCTAGTGGAAGGTTGTCCCAGGCACTTGGAGCTAGATGGCCTTTAAGGCTTTAAAGTCCCTTCCAAACCAAACCATTCTATGATTCTACATCCATCAGACTCTAAGATTGCAAAGACAATTTAGTTTCACTGATGACAACTAAATGATTTATATTTATATATATATATACATATATATATATCAATCAAGATCTGGTATAGTAGCAAGGAAAAGACAAGTCAAAGTGTTTTACTCCTTACAGAGTCACTTGACTCTAAAGCCCAATGCAAATGACTAACTCTGAAATGTATTTAAGTATTTAAAAGGTGTATATGAAACCCCTAAGATCCATTATTATCACCTTCTGCAAAATGTGGAAGTCTTTTACCCACATTTTAAGTCTTTTACCCAGACTTCAATCTTTAAGTTAATCTTATTACCTGACAGAAATTGGACTAGAGGGATAGAAAAGCAACTTTCCTATTCTATTGTGTACCAAAAAATCAGCACCTAACTGCTTTGACTACTAAAAGTGTTCATGCCTTCAGGTTAAGCACCAATTTCCACAAAGAGTTATTTATAATGGTGTCCACTGGTATTGAGGAGGAATCAGTTTGTTCACTATAAATTGCTGAATTAGATGTGACTCAGACACAGCAGGCTGTCACTGTGAGGGAGGAGTACATGCAGCAAACAGAACAAAGGGGAGGTGGGACAAGTTACAACACCATTTCACTCTCCATCTTCCAACACACTCCCTGAAGTGGAGTTTTGGGGCAGCAGAGAGGACCACTTCAGGAAAGAATCCTGCAGAAGATGCTTACACTGTGGAAAATGCTTTTGTTCCACTTTATCCAGCTGAACAAACTGTTGTTGTACCCAATGGAGTGCGCAAACTGAACCTTTGCTGCTGCAATAATGTTCTTGCAGCCAGGCAAAACTCAGCTCAAGCACAGAAACTATTCAGCTGCAATTGGAGTGCTCTCACTTGTGGCTTGACTGCACAATCATTATGGTCTAATTAACAGAATATACAGGTGCCAATGGACTTATCTGGGTAACCACGGGCTGCCAGCAGCAAAAATCGTTTCTTTTTTCTCTTATCTTTTTCCACTGAGTCCTTGTCGATTACAGAATTTACAATCAAATCCCAAAATCAGAGTGCTGGAGAACACTCTGAGCAGGTTTAGCCCCAGATTCACGGTGCCTTTTCCTTACTTGGTGGCAAATCCAACGCTTGTTCTCCAGATTCTCTGTATACTTAAGGCGTTGCACAATTAGGTCTTTAACGTTGTTGCAGCTCAAAGTTTCCACCTCACCTTAAGTAAACAGTGAATTACGAAGTAAAAAAGAGATTTCTCTGCAGGTTTGATGATTCACTGCCTGGAATATTTATAGAAACATGCAGCTTGTCAATAGTAAGGGCACAAGTGATGCTCAGAGGGGCACATAGTGATGTGGCACAGTGGGAGAGCCAAATCTTGGAATTTTAATAATGAAGTCTTTGTTTTTCCCTTTCTATTTTTCCCATGGAAAAACATGCCAGAATTCACTTGCAGCTGGAGCTGTAGTCATTAATAGTTCTTAGGACACCAGGGAAGAGTCGGATTGCTAAGAAAAAAAGAGGTGGGAAAAAACCAGAGGGTATAGAAGCCCTTTATGTAGGATATTAATCTGGAAGGATCAGTTTTGCAACCCTACAAACAGACCACTACTGAGAAGAGCAATGAAAGCCAAATGTTGAGCGAAGACAAGCTTCAGTTCTCCATATGATGAGACATGATCCCCCTAGAAAAAAAAATTAAAACAAACTAATCACGATTGAGAAATCAAATAACTTCCAAAGAAAGTTAATATATAGGAAAGAAGAGCTGAGTAGCTCCAGCTTCTAAAAGGAGCCATTAGCTGGGACTCCAACGTGGTGTGTAAGCATCATGAGCCTGGCAATATCATTTATGCTGCACCCTGTTTGCACAACTCCAGAATTCCCACTGCTATCAGGTATTGTAAACAGCCAGGACCACTCAGGAGAGCAGGGTGATGAATATAAGATAAGCCATTCTTCTCTATGTGGAGAGACTCAGGGGCTTCATAGGTAGGCCTTAACTTAATGAACCTCAAAATGCCCTTTGTGGCTCCATGGTGGGACTTGTATCACTGATGGAACTGCACAGCTGCTGGAGTTATTCCACGGAGTCCTGGGTATCATCCCTTGGGATTTCCAACAGGTAGCCCTGCCCAGCCTTTGGGAAGCCATCAGAGCATCACCCTCACCTGCAGCCATCTCCTGGGAGCTGCCCACGGGTGGATGACTGCCCAGTGTGATCAGTGTGACGTAAAAAACTGGGAGAAAACGAGCTAATGGTGACCACTGCTCAAGATTTACAAGCTGATAGCTGGGGTGCAGCGTTCCCCGCCCTTTCTCTGTGATTTATATTGAGCGTTATTGAATCGAACTAAATTATCTGCAAATGCCATCAGGATGAGTCCAGTGAACTTCCTGTGGCCATGGCAGCTGCACTGTCACGCCTGAGGTCTCCCCCAGGAAAGGGTTGCTGACTAACTCTGGTAACAGTGTCAAACAAGCCTGTTTCCAGGAGCAGAATTCCATCCTCAGTAAACATCCTTGAGTCTGAGAACCAGCGTGAGGTGTTCTTTTTCAGCCTGCCAGCTTTCTCACCTCTCTCTCCTCCTCTTAAAGAGGCAAGCAAACCAAATGGTGGTGAGCTCCTAGAACACACCCATTTTTACAGAAAAAGTGATGAACCCTACGGTATCCTGGGAAAGTGTTAAATTCCCAAGTTGCAGAGACAGAATGTGCTACAGTGGTTAAGTCTCCTCAGAGCTATCTTTTCAGACTCTCTGCAGGCACTTGTGAGCACCATTTATGCATCATCAATATTTCCAGCTCTTTATGTTTAACATCCCACTATTTTCTTGAAAAATATTTCCTAAAAAAAAAAACCCACATCAAAAAACCACACAAACAAACAAACAAACAAACAAACAAAACCACACACACAAACTATTGCAGAAAGGCAAAACTTCTGAAGCAAATTTACAAAGAGAGTGCTAAAGTTTCTCTCCTTCATTTTGCTAATCCATGGTCCAAAAACAAGTGTGATGTGCTTCTTTTATGGAAATGGTTATTACTGCTCTTTTCAAGTGGTGTGTCATTTACTCTGCCTGAGAAGGAAGATGAAGAACACAATGCTGTCTTCCCCCTCTGTAGTCCTGCAGCCTTTGAAAACAGGCAAGAACAGTAGGAATTTCTTTCTTACTTCTGTGGCCTTCACCCACAGCCAAAAGGACAGCAGGTTCAAATCCTCTCAAATAGAGGATGGTCATCTACAAGTATTTCACCATTTCAGGAAGGAGATAAACAGGTAAAAAAAAGTAACTGGTCATAATTCAGTACTCACACAGGGTAACCTGAGGATCTCTAATCGTAGAACACTTGGTAGCTGAAGTTGTCAGACTTGATTCTGAAGTTGTATCTTCCCATCTTTCGCTGGTACTGGAAAATGAGAAGGCTCACAAGTCCCAGCACAAACCCAACCACAGCGAGGGCAATGAGGATGATGTATCCAACTCCCATCCCAGCCTCCTTTTCTCTCTTCAAGTGAGGTGCTGAAAAAACCAAAAACCCAACGAAAAAAATGAAAAACCAAGAGGTGCAAGGAAAAAAGCTTTGAAATTCTTAAATATTTTACTGGGGGAAGAAATAAGCCTTTCCTACAAATTAGCCAGCGTGCCAGCACAGAACTGTGATGCAGAAGGGTATCAGCCTTTTTGGGGAGGGTGATTCTCACGGAAATGTCATGAGGACAGTCCATGTTCTCCCTTTTGCATATAAGTGTGGTGTCCCTGCAGACGTAAGTGTGATTTTCAGTAAAATAAGAATTAAAGAATTAACACTTGTGACTCTTTGAAATGCTGCCTTCCTTTCAGAAGGTGAAGCATTCTCCCATCTTAATCCTGCCTCTCTTTGTGTCTGTACCTGTACTTACAGTTCATACTTGTAAAGGTTTGATGCACCTACAAAAACATCTATTTGTGTGCTTACATTTTCAGGACAGCAATTATTTAGCCAAGCACTTACGTGGTACCTGAGGTACACAGAAGGCAAATAAATACTCCTGCATTCATGCCTGCAATTACAGACAAGATTTTTGGCCAAAGGGCGCTGTTGGCAGCCACAGAGGTGTGTAATGGCTGTGTCCAAGCTACATAACACCCAGGGCATCACTCCAAAGGCAGGTCAAAGCAGTGCTGTGTAATATATTCGGTCTTATTTCTGAATTTCAGTATGAAACATGGGAATAAAGAAGAAGATGCACAGTGGAAGTGGCAGCCTGTATCCAGGTACAGACAGAACAGGCCTTCCTGAGGACATGCAGCAGTGGCCTTTGCTGGGGGATGTGGCCAAGTGCAGGCAGAGCAGTGAAAGCTTATCTGGTGTTTTGCTGCACAAGCTACATCTGTTATTACCTGGCATCATAATTCATGTTGTCCCCTTCAACACAGAGATGTAGATCACTGTCTAGGTCTATCCTCACACTTGAAATGATTTGTGAGTGTTCAAGCTGGAAATAGGAGACAACATCCAGTAGTGCCACCTTTGCCTAGGAATCAGTGCAGCACAACCCAAATCAAGCTCCCCTCACCAGAGGCCATTTGGGGAAGTGGTCATTTTTTCAGTATTAGAAAAGCATTGAAGTCTCCTGGGAAAAGGAGAGGGAGAGCTGCTTGTTGTAAGAGCTGAAGAACAAAACAAGCTGCATTAATTGCTAAGTTTTTTTTAAAAACAAGAACTGGTTCGGAAATGAACACTGTAGGCCTATTCAATCAGACCAATATTTGCATGTAAAGGAAGAAAAATACAGTATGCTAAGTCAGAGTCCATTTCTAGGTCCAAAAGAACATTGTGAACTCTCTATTCACAGCAGCCACATGTTGAAACTCTGATATTGGCGAGCCCAAATACTCTCATAGAGTGTTTTAGATTAATAAGTTACGAATGCAAATGGCTGGAGGAGGCCTGGTGACTGAAAACATTACAGACCACAGGTGCCCTTGAAAACATCACTCAGGTTAAATGCAGAAGAGGCAGGTGCGTAACAAATTAGACCTTGCTTGTACATAATGCTGTTGTTTGCTCTCTATTAACCTGTACTGCACCTCTCCTCCAACATGCTGTGCATCGGCAGAGCTCTCTGCCACTTCCTCTCGTGGTGGCAAAGCCAGTGCCAGGGAAACACAAAGGAAACACAACAACAAAATCTCTTACATCCTCTGATATTGGACTTCAGAGCTCAGTACAATTGCAGACTAACAGCAGTGTAAACACTTGGAAAACTGATTGCAATCTAAAAGATTGAAGCTGCTTTCACACTTCACAATTGAAATAGCTGTTTGATTTCGTGGTTGCTGCACTTGCTGCCCTGTGCAAACAGCTGCACAAAGCACTTTATCTTCCTTTCTGCATTCCCTTGACAACCTGACAGTCACTTCACCCCGGAGGGCACGGGGTTCTCCCCACTGCCACGTGGCTTCAGCAAGAACACCTGATCCTCAGGAATACGTGCAGAGGGGCGTGAAAACCTTGAATCACAGGTCTTCAGGTTCCTCTGCCGGTAAAAAATGATCTTGAAATGATAGTTGTGGTGTGCCCCCCTTTTTGCAAGCATCTGCTCAGAACTCACCAGCTGCTCTACACAGGGGTCCCCAGGATGTTCTGTGTGTGGCAACGACTTCTCCAGCCCTCAGGAACCGAACCATGGCGTGGCATCTCTGCAACAATCAATCAATCAAACTCCAACAAGTAATGGGGCTTACTTAACCAAAAATACAAAGCTTTCTGATGAGCATGTGAAGGCCCAGTGCTCTTCTCACTCACTGGGGTTTTTTGTTTCTTAATGTCGTGCTTTGTTAAAGTGAAATTAGCACCAAAAGGAAGGTCAAAGGGAATGGCATCAGTATGAAATCTGTAATTAGTCACACTGGAAAACACTGCTGTGACCAGACATTTCACACAGGCAATGCCTTTCTTTTTGTTAACTTTCTGTTTGTTTTAGAGAAACCTTATGGGAGAATAAACTTATCACTATTTCCACATGCCAGGGTTTTTGCAAACATGGCAGGCACAGCAGATGCTAAAACCATCACCACCAAAAGCAGCGGCAACTTTCAGGCCCCTGCCAAGCCATGTGTCATTTTGGAGCTACACACAGCTTCAGTGACATGTGAATTAATAATCTGGGAACTACTAATTTGAAAGCCCCGCCCTGTGAAATGTTGGGAAGCAGCTGCTTCAGCACACTCATCCTCTGCACACTTCCTTGACAGCACTATTCACTTTGTTTGCCACCTTTTTGGTTTAAGTTGCAGCCTAAAGGTCTCTCTGATGGGAACTGAAGCATACTGGAGTTACTAAAAAAGTACTGTGGCTCTCCTGGAAGTGCACATAAAAGAGAGTCTACACAAGAACCTGTTCCCACCTGTTACACTGAAAATCCTCTACAGTCCAATGCCAGAAACAGTGTCTTTAACTGGGTCATTCCCCAGAAAAATACTCATCTGTCTGTGACTTTGGTCTACTCTCAAATAGCTCTCCCAGCTGGGTGGATCCATTACAGAACATGGTTATGTAGCTGCTCCCTGATGGCAGTGATTTTGTGGTTCCACATGGCCACGGAGCAGCCACGTTCCACCAGACACCACTCCTCTTTCAAAGTCATGTTTCTGACTCATTTCTTACTACACTTCACCCCAGCCTACTTCTTTTTACTCCAAACTCGAGAGCACCTCCCTCTCTTCCACTGAGAAAACAAGGGGGGAAAAAAAGACTGAGTAAGAAGAAATAATACAACACGTTACTCCCAATTCTGTGGGTAAAGAGCTGAAGCAAACCTGACCTGAAGCCAGTCAGTGCTCTCCAGAGTAACAGATCAGAGGATCAGATCCCAGACCCTGGACACTTTTCCAGCCTTCTTACACTATTTCCAAATACACCGTCTTGCTCCAGTTTTCCTTGATCTTTGCACCTCCTGCAGCTCCCACTCCTTTCTGTGTAAAAGAAAAAGGTCACTCTGCGTAGAGATGCCTAATGATTGTCTTCTCCACATCACAGTTTGGTCTCAGTCTAAGGGGGCAAATTTTGCATAGGAGAAAGCAAAATGTACATAGACGTACAGATATATAGATATATTCCTCCTCAGCTGTGCAGGGCACAGTGAACTCAGGGAGGGCACCACCTTCTGCAAAGGAAGGCATAGGCTGGGGGTTGCTGAACCACTGATTTTTAACGTGTATATTCATATTGAACTGCAAAAACTGGAGCCATCTTACCACTGTTAGTCTTGTTTCCTGTCCCTACTTTATTTATTTATTATTTATTTATTAAACCTGGAGGAAGCTTTATACTTAGAGAAAGGAAACAAGCATCTCCTGGCAGCCATTTTTAATCTCTCAGGAAGAGATTGTTTGCTTTATAATGGGCTGAAACTGTGTTATTTGGAGCTAGAGGAAAGTGGTAAACAATGGAGGAGCACCAAACTGCTAATGAAAACATCCTTCATAGAAAAAGAGCCAGGAAGGTTGGCAGAAGAATAGAATTCCCAATTGTCTGCTATTAAGGAGAAAAAAAAAAAAGCCATCAGCAAAACATTTTTTTTTCTTATTTCTACAGTAGCAACACATTTTTAGGTAAAGCTGTGTATCACTTACTTGGAAGTCAAACAAGCAATGCTTTGTAGCACAGAGAACTAGAAACTGCGGTTCTTATCACAACATTGCTTTGTTTATTGCTTTAAAAAGCAATCAGGCTTTAAAAAGCCCTAATAAATTCTATTGGAGTCACAGACCTAGAAACTTAATGCCACTGAGCTTCCTGTCCTGGCACCTAAAGTCTCAGCTGAAGCACCACATCTCCAGGTGAAAATCAAAAAAAAAAGGACAGAAAGCCTTCCTGAACCAATTTACTCTGATTTTTCCTGCTGACACTGTCAATATGGGTGCTCATTTTTTTTGTGTCACGTCCATCTGAGCTGATACTTTCCTGAACAGTCTAATTTCATTGCCTTCCAGCCACCCCTACTCAGAGGAGGAAGGTGCAATTCTCAGGTTCCCCAGTTCTGTGCAAGCTTTTTAACTATGAGCAGGAGGAACAGGAAGAAAGGCAGAGGCTTCCATACCATTTTAGTCCTTCCCCACTCCTCTCTGCTCCCGGCAGAGAATGAAGGAAACTTCAAGAGCTATTTAAACCCTGTTTTGAAACATTACTCCTTCTGTTCCATTTCAGGACAGCATAAGGCACTGAGAAAAATATATTTTTTGGGGGGAGAAAAATAGCAAAGCACTTACTGTCCTGTCCTGCAGGTTCTTCCCGGTGTCTCCATGCAGATACGAATTCTGCAGTGTAAGTAAACCACAGAATTGTTGACAAAGGAAAAAATTTTCATCTTAAATTGGGCTTTGCTTGAATTCCCATTCTCTAGCAGTGTGGTGTATGTATTTGGGATGGGACAGCTGAAAAGGAAGAGAAAAACCAGGCATAGCAGATAGGGCTAGAGAAGGCAGGTTGTGGTTATAGCACATGAATTGGGTTGTAAGGCCTTTCCTTCCTTTAGGAAGTCACAGCCAGACCCTTCATCAAGCAGCTCTGGCAAGGCAGTGATGGTAAGGGGGTGTTTGCTGCTTATTATCACAGAAAACAAATAGAAGAATAGATTTGAGAAGTGGTTGGAGGGTTGGAAAACAAGGGAAAGAGTAGCAGAAAGAAGGATCCAAACTTGGCTTCACCAAACACAGACTGAAAAATCATCACGTTAAAAGGAATCTGTTTTGTTACTCAGCAAAAGGATTATTCTGTATTTTAAGATGGCAGGTGAGCCCAAGGAGTATAACATTGGGGTGACATTAGTGATCCAGACAGGAACAAAGCTCCTCTTTTACCAGAGGCTGCATTAATATCATGTGTGAGGGATTAACTGACCTATTTCTTCATTGATGAAAGTCACATAAGCTCTTGGTAAAGCTGAAACCACAGAGAAACCTCTGAACCAAAGAGAAATAGATAAAGCACACACTTTTCAAATGCTCTTTCACTGCTGACTGCCAAAATCACCCTCGGGTCAAAAGTACAATTCCTTGACAAAACTATAGGGAAGACAATGAAGCTCAAACAGCTATGACATGGTTCTTTTGAGAACTCTTTTCACACCCACTATTCTTGTTCAAAGGTGTGACCAGTCCAAATGGAAAGTGAACATGTATAAGAATGAGGAGAACACACATAAAAGGCATTTAAAATGTAACACATGAGTAGTCAGTGCCAGTGGAAGATCTAAGGCACGGCAGGTGCTATTTGTGAGTGGCACTGCTGTACCTGTTGCTGATAAAAACAAATGAGAGGGGATCCACTGAATTATTAGTTGGAGTTGCCCAGCAGTCAGAGAGAACCACCTTGAGCTTGCTGTCCCCTCTCTGGATCCCCACTTCGATCAGCACATCGTCACTGGCAGAGACACTGAAGTTTTTTGGTATGGGGAGTTCCCAATGAACAGCTGCATTTCTGTTCTGAAGTGTCCGGATCCGTGCAAATCCTCAAAGATGGTGTAAAGCCTGAAAAATCAATGAGCCTCCTTTAAAGACCACAGATTTTACTGTCTGTTTCTCTAAGTCATAAATTAGTGGCTGCTTGTCCACCTCTTGAACAAATAAACAGTGAAGAGTTATCTGCAGTCCAAGGTGTCAGGACACTGTTCAAAGGGAAAGGAGGAAAATGCATCCAGTTGGGAAGGCAGAGAGCACAGAAACACAAGTGGGAAAATCCAAAGGGTAGAATGTCCCTGCAACACAAACAGGGCAAAGAGAGTGGTTTGAGTGGAGCAGAAGGGGAACAAGACCACGAGTTCTCTGAAAGTTCAAAATAAGGACAGTAAAAGCTTAGTGCAGAAGAGAAGAGCCAGAAGAAATTATAAGGGACAAATCTGAACAGTAAGGGAGGGGCATGAGAAAATTACAGAGCTCAGAGAGAAGGAGCCTGACAAAGACTTTGCAGGGGAATAGAAAGGAAAATACAATGTCTGGACAGGGTTAGGAAGCAGAAAGTGGATTTGGTGCCAATAGTTTAAGCACGGTGGCAGGAAAGAGAGGGGAAGTGCATTTGTATGGAGGGAGAACATTCCCCATCAGAGCAAAGCTTGTGCTGCCACATTTTCTGTGATCATGGGCTTGATCTTCTGTGAAGTGTGGATTTGATTACATTTAACTTGAAGATGGGCCCTTCCATAAAAAAACCCATGATTTGCATTAGGTGTCTCCTCTTTTTCCAAGTTGACCAAATCAGGATTTGTGGGGGTTAAAAATTGCCATTCTCAGAACCCACAGAGGAGTCTGCAGGCACACATCAGGTAAAAAGATTAGTGATTGATATGTTCCAAAGGCAGGAAATTGCTGTTATTGCTACAGGGGATTGCCCAGGAAGGCAAAGAGAAGTGAGGAATTCTGAATTCCTGAACCTGCACCAGTGGCTCCGGAAGGTTTATTTTCCTCTCAAGCTTTTTGGCTGCTGGATCTAACAGCAAATTAGGTGGAGTAGGAGAGAAGCACATAGCAGGAATCCCCTGAGCACAGGGCTCCCAGGATGGCAGACTATTCAGCATTGCAAGTACCTTCACTGGACACAGCTGCAGCCCCTGAGGACCTTCCCAATGCAGCAGCACTCAGCCACACAGCAGCATTTCAAAGCAGAGGGAGTTGTTACTTACCCTTCTGCAGTGTACCCAGAGGAAGCCAAGACATCGTTTTGAAACACACAGTGAATGGGACTGGCAACTTTCAAGTGGTGGATTATTCCCTGAGTAGGAATGTCGTTCCGAAGGATGGTTTTCACTACAGTATTAGTCGTGTTCTGCAACGCAGAAGGAAAAAAGTACAGCTTGTGAACATTGGTGTTTGTAGGGATGCAGCAGAGCTACAGGCTTACCAGTGCCAAATACTCGGGTATTCTCCATTCTCCTGGCTACAGAAATCACAATAAACCTCGAATATCTCTGTTGCTGCACAGTGAGACAATGAAAATCCTCGACTCTCCCTCACTTTCTTTCCTATCGTGTCATAGAATCATAAAATCACAGAATGACTTGGGTTGGAAGGGACCTTAAAGATCATCCCATTCCAACCCCCTGCCATGGGCAGGGACTCCTTCCACTAGACCAGGTTGCTCAGAACCCAATCCAACTTGGCCTTAAGCACCTCCAGGGGCGGGACAATGATTGTTCCTTAGCAATGATCATTGCTCCAGAGGGGAATTTCTGTACTTTGGCCTGGTCTGAGCATAGCCTTCGGTTTGGGATCCAAGGAGATAGCCATCATTCTCTGTCCCCACAATTGCTAGCAATTGAGGTATTTGTAAAAATGAGACAAGGAAAGTTCTTCTCAGAAAATTCAGGCAGTTGCAAAGGGAGCCTGGAGAGCCATGGGAAGTGACTCTCAGTTTGGAGAGACCCTCCCAAAGGAGGACAACGAAGTTGGTGAAGGGTCTTGAGGGGAAGGGGTGTGAGGAGCAGCCAAGGGCACTTGGTCTGTTCAGCCTGGAGAAAAGGAGACTGAGGGGAGACCTCACTGCAGTTACAACCTCCTTGGGAGGGGAAGAGGAGGGGCAGGCACTGATCTCTGCTCTGTGGACCCGAGGGAATGGCCTGGAGGTGTGTCAAGGGAGGTTTAGGTTGGATATTAGGAAAGGGTTCTTCCCCCAGAGGGTGGCTGGGCACTGAACAGGCTCCCCAGGGCAGTGGGCACAGCACCAAGGCTGACAGAGCTCAAGAAGCTGTTTGGATGATACTCTGGAGCACACGGTGTGACTCTTGGGGAGGGTCCTGTGCAGAGCTAAGGGTTGGACTCGATGATCCTTGTAGGTCCCTTCCAACTCAGCATATTCTGTGATTCTCTGAGTTTTGCTGCCTGACCTCAAAGACTCCCCATCTCTTTTGTGCTTGGCCCCCATCCCAAACAGAGAGGTAACTTCCCATCACAGGAAGGTGTATTCTGTCTCCAAAGGTGTTTCTTTGCATTCCCTGGCTCAGAGGACTTACAGTCTCCACCTCGGTGCCGCAGTCGCTCCATCCTGCCTGCAGCACAGCGTGAGTGCCATTGCTCCTGCTCACATTGCAGTGAGGCTGCCCCAGGTACAGGGAGGCTTCTGGGATGGACTCCTGCTGTAAAAACCTCTTCTGGATGGCCAGGACGATCTTCTCTATTCCACAGACCACGCTCACTGCATCTTTAATGGAACCCTCCTGGGCAGGTTTGGCAAGGGAGGCTGGAGATGCTTGACGGGAAACATCAGGAGTTGAAACGGGATCCTTGGTGAGAGGAGGCAGCACCGTGCTGGAGAACATGGTGTCCTCCAGAGCTTTGTGCTCAGCAGCAGAGAAGTCCAGTGAAGCAGAGGAAGAAGTTTGCAAAGATGTCACAGATAAAACTTGGTTGTGCACTGGTTTCTTATCCGTCACTGTTGCCTTCTGGCTGATAGGAAGTGCTGAAGGGTGCCAAAAAAATAAAGGTACTGTTGTAATTTACAGGTTTGGATTGATTTCATAAGGCAAAAGCAAACTCCAAGGAGGAAACTCAGAGTTACTGGCAGGAAACTAGCTTCTTTGTTTGTTTGTTTGTTTGTTTGTTTGTTTTAACCTGCTCTACTTGCTTCCAAAGCTGTGGCTTTTTTAAGACACATACAGTGGCTGTCAGTAAAGCTCAAGTGCTTTATTTCCTGACAGCTGCAATAATTAGTGTGTAAAACATGTATATATAGCTTTTGGAAGATCAGTGCTTGCAAGAGATCCCCAACTGTTGGTGGCTCAGCAAGTGTTCATATGTTTTTGCTTAGTACTGTGGGAGACTCCACAGTTCTGGGTGAGGTTATAAACAGGAGTAGAGTTTGTTAAAAATAACCTGGCCCCATTTGTGACCAGTTGCTACCCAAAAAATATGACCTTGAGCACTTGGAAAACCCATTTTGGGAGAAGTGTGGGACAAACCTCCTGTAGCAGACCCACACTGCACATTGGCGTCCTGAGAGAGAGTGGGGAGCTGAACAAACGTGTTGGTAGCAACCTTTAATGGTTTCAGGAAGAAAGCAAGTGGAGAAAAGGAAGGAAAAAGGAAGCACAGGTTGAAATCAATGTGCCTGTTGAATACCAAACATCCAGCACAGGCTCTGGGGTTACCCTGTGGCTCTTTGCTGGTAGAAATATCCTAATTATTCATCCACCACTGACTTAGAGACCATGAAGATAATAAACTCCATTTGCACTGAAACGCAGAGGCTGTGTCTCATTGCCCAAAACTTCTCTTAAATAATTTTAGTGGCTTGGACATACAAATGGCATCTATTTCCCAAGCAACATATAAAATCTGTACACACAAACAAGCACACATACATATATAATATATATATATATATATATATAAATTTCCTTCTGGAACTCCCCAGCTTTGAGAAATGCCCCAAATGAATAAGTTCCTGATTTGAGCAACAGGGGGAGAAAAATAAAAGCCTGAGCTCTTTCAGAGCTGGATATCCCAAAAGCTTAATATGATCTTATTATCTTAGTTAAACAAAACTGAACTGGTTGGTATCAGCTGATAAATTGATGTGACTTCAGTGAAAGAGTTCCTTATCAATGTGGTTACAAAAGCAAATATAAATTGCTGAAGAAGCCACCAGCTAACAAGTGACTTGAAGAGAGGCCAGATGAATCACCTCATACCAAAAGACAGTTTGTAATACCAACATTTCCTTCCTCCTGCCATACAGAGGTCAAGCCACCTATCTAGTACTTCCTGTTACCTTCTCTGTTATCTCTTCTGTCCCCTCTGATACTAATGAACATAACTAACAGTCTTGACAACCCCATCTAAATTTTGTGGAAAACATGAGAAACAGAACTGTTGAAAGGACCTCGCAAACACAGCATTAAATATTCACTAGTAAACTATCATGATAGAGTATTGCATTCAGAAATACTTAAAGGGCTTTCCCCAATCCAGCTGAAAACAAAGAGGCAAAGCAATGCCCGGCAAAACGACGAGACCTGTGACAAGTGTGACCACGACCTAGCAAAGATCAGATCTCTAAGCATTCAGTTAGCCACTAGGCAATGAATATTCTTTTTTGCCTTCACAGCTTCTTCCAGGCCTCTCTGGCTGCACATCCACGAATCCTTCCTTGCAGCTGCACTGGTAGGAGCCCAGCGTGTTACGGCACGAGGCGTCCAGGGAGCAGTCGTCCTCTTTGCCTGTGCATTCATCATAATCTGCTGGGTGGCACACTTAGGCAGAAGAAAGACAAAGCTGGAGGGTGCATAAACGAAAATCTGATGGTTCAGACACTGGGGAATATCACCAGTCAAATCACCAGGGTGTCACGATGAGGTCACACCCCTTAGGTGTGATACTCTACCCCTGTGTGTCAGGCAGCTGCTGGGTCCAGGAGAGGTGGGATACTGGAAGCGCAGCCTAGAGGGAAAATTGCAAGGCACTGACAAATCCCCTCCAAGAGCTGGGCTGCCAGTGATGCTCAGCTGATGCTTAAACACAGACACACTGCTCCTGTCCTCCTAAACTGATCAGCAGCCCAAGGGAATGCTCCCAACCTGGAGGCTTCCTCAGGTATTCCTGCATTTTGCACTCCTGAAGAGGTGGTTGGGGAATGCCCAGCATGAGTGAAGCAGGAAGGTTGTGTGATCGGTCCAAACTGCATTCTGTTTGCTTTCTTAATTTTTACCTGGCCAAAATTTTCACTTTTGAAAGTCAAAATATGCTTTTACTTCCCTTTCTCTCCCCAAGGTCTAAAAAATCAGACCAAATAAGGACATACCACCTTAGGTGGGACTCAGAAAGCAGAACCTGCTCTATGGGGACCTGTCCCTGCCACAAACCACTTGTTTTAGCCACAGGTTCAAGGGGGACAGGTACTCCACAAGCCCCATCACGACATAGTTGTGATCCTACTAATTAACAGGATTTGTAACTTTCCAGATTTACAGCTGTGAGTGTAACAACCAAAAAAGATGCACAGGGCAGAGCATAAACATGTTGCTGAAGTAATTTTGCTATAGATTCTAACTGAGAGTTTTAACAATATCCTTTGGAAAAATGTCAAGGATTTTGTATTTGGTATTTTTTTCAGAGAGAACTTGTGAGTAGAATTCAGCAACTGTTAGTCGGGAGACTAATGTTTCTTGCTACTTATTTAAATGATGTATAAAGGAAAAGAAGTTGTACCATCAGCCATCGTGCTGGTGTTGGCAAAGTGTGGGTTTTCACCTGAACTCCCAATCCACAAGTGTGTGAGGAAAACATGTGCTCCCAGTGAAGAAGAATTCACATGTTCATTTATTGCTTTCTTGTGGTCTCTACCACATGCAAAATTACCAGTGCAAAGCAGAGGGCAATGTGTTCCTCAGTTCTTTTAAACAGAGCTAGTTCTGGCTGTGTACAGGGACCTATTTCCACTGGTAGTTTATAAACCCCAAAATTTGTGACCACTGTATCTAACATACCCTTACCTTCTTCTCCATAAAATTGATTCTAGATATAGACAAAAAGACCAGTTGGTTTTGTCCTTTTGGATCAGTGGTACCTCATTTCCTATGTCATCTATTGATGTTAACTGAAAAACCTTATTGGATGGATAAACAGGAGCAATATCAGGAGAGAGAAAGGCTTTTCATCCATCTGTTTTACATATACTTTCACTTCAGATGATACAGATTTATCATCTTCCTAGTTCTGAAGAACTCTCGGGATACAAGCTGCTCCTTACCCTTTATGGAGAGGCTGCTCTTGTCAATGGTGAAGGAGGAGCTGTGTTCCAAGGCATCCCGAAAAGTGGTGATGACACAGTGGACATCCACATCCTCTGCAACCACTAAACTGAAACCTACCACCGTGCTGCCATTGGTAATACTCGTTATCAGCACTTTAATCACACCAGCATCCACCTGCTGGAGAACATCGAGGGGTAGAGATTTATGTACCTGGAATAAAAACAAAATGCACGTGGAGATGGACGCATGGGGGCAATTAAATTTTTAGGCTGTGTAGGCTCCCAGAAGAGCATTATGCATTTCAGTTGTGCTCCATCCTCTGGAGGGAGGCAGAAGAAAACTGACCTTTTGCTTGATAACATTTTCATTCTACAGCAGCTGAAGGATGTGGTGTGTGTTTAACCATGAATATTAAACAAGACAAGCAATTAAAATATCTCATCTGTCATTTGGCACTGGTCCTTGCTTCTGGTAACAGAAAGGGAGGGAGGAGGCTGCAGGGGAGTTCCTGTGTTCTGCCTCTCAAAATGCCTCCAGGGAGAGGGGGAAATCCAAAATGAGGAAGAGCTGCCAAAGGAAGTGGAGATGCTCTTGACACTCCACGCTGCATATATCTCTCAGAGGGGTCCCACAGCCCAGGCATGTTACAACTTACAGCAGACCACCCTCAAGCCTTTCTTCACATCTGATTTCTCACCAGAGCCAAGCCAATAACACTTCTTTTTAAATGCCCCCAGACCAGTGTAAAGAAAACAGAAAGGTGTTTCTTTTCATCAGCTCTGCCATGCAGCTGAACCTCCCAGTCTTCAATTTGATTTCAGAAATATTTCAATCAAGTCTTCTGTGAGGAGTGTCATATTTTTTCTGCAAATTCTGACTGTCATCAGGGCACACAGCCCTGACTCATGATCCTCCTGGAGAGCCCAAGGGCTGGACTAATAAATGGTTCTGCACTATTTTAAAAAGGAACAGTCAGCCTCCAAGTCTTGCAGCACCAAATCACTGCTGAATTTAGGTCAGTCTAGAGAAATCAATAAAATAAACACTCACAGTGTGCTCAGTCACCTTGAACTTCACTGGTGGCCTAAAAAATAAAATGCCACCTTTTTCAACGTGCAGTGAGCCTTAGTCATGACTTGTCAGGGCAGCTCCAAAAGCTGCCTCCTTTGCCGTGCTGGACAGGAAGATGGACTGCTTTCTGTGGGATGGGAAAGCACAGCCCTGTGTGAGGGTTTGCATCAACTTGGCTGCCCAGCCTGGCCACTGCCCAGCTCAGATGGAGCCACCAACCCCTCTCAAAGAGCTAAACACACTGCAGCTTATGCTCAACCTCTTCCCTTCCCACCCTCCAAGGCTGGACACCTCTGGAGGGCAGCCAACCAAGGGAACATCTCCTCCTCTTCACACAGGAGAGCACTCCATGGGACAGGGCACCTGGCCTAATGCAGGAGCCCAGGGGGGATGTACAACAGCATTTGCATTTCCAGCATCATTCCCCTTCATCTCCAGCACCAGCCACAGGAGAAGCAGACACAGGTCAGATGGCATCACCTCATGGGAGCAACACCAGACCAGACACAAGGCTGATAATAATCCAGCTTTAAAGGATATTTTGAGAAAACATTAGACACAGAAATACAGACTGTTTCTGAGAAACTCGCTGTGAAGACAAGCTGGTAAACATCCCCAAGTTCTCACCTCAGTCCTTTTCCTTTAGTTGCCCAGAAAAGGGGCCTGATAAGACAGCATTGGACTCCCTATCTGCACATCCCAAAGGAAAGCAGGGAACAACATAGATACATACAGAGATCTGCATGCCATCTAACCATGGGCAGAGCACATACCTGAAGACCAGGTGCCTGGGTAAGCCCAGACTGTGTGATACCATCCATCAATGTCCTGAATTTTTCCATTAGAATTGTATATTTTCTTCTCTCCCTCTCTCCAGGAGATGCTCACTGATCCTCTGAGTTTCTTAATCTCCTTCACGTGTGTCTGGGAAGTCTTTTTACATTTACAGGTAGAAAGTGGGATGTAACTTTCAAGCCTGCATCAGGCAGGTAGGACAGGCTGTTCTGAGCTATCAGTATTAAAATTGCACTTAGAAACTGCTGTCAAGAGTGCGAGGGGACACTGTCCACAGCAAGACAGCAGCTCCCAGCAGCACAGGAAAGATAAATCTCATGCTGACCCTATCAACCCTCCTGAGCCTGGAATACACACAGTAGCCACCAGCTTCAATTCAGGACACAGAGAGATGGAAACAGCCAAAGAAATACCTGACATTTTTGTGATTTCTCAGCATATTTACTCTTTGCCTCCCCTCTCCAGTGGCTGTCAGGCTCCCTGGAGAGGAAGGCACAGAGCAGCAGGGCAACCTCACTGTAAGGGCAGACGGCAGCACTAGCCCAGGTGAGAGCTGGCACTGCTGCCCTGTCAGGAGAGTCACTTCTTCCCCACACCTCGCTTTGCTTTAGGTCCTCTCTTTAGGAGGACCTAAAGGACTCACTTCCCTTCCCTAGCTCAGATTTCCAGGGAATTAAGGGGCCAGGTGGTGGCTACACTGCAGCCACCTCCAACAGCTTCTTCCTCCATGTAACTTCTGCAAGAAATATCTGGAGCAGGAGGGTTGGACTTCAGCCATGAGTTTCGGGCAGAGGTCATGCCAGTGGTGTAATGATCAGGGGTGCCAGCAGTGACTCCTGCCAGGGAAAGCCTTGGGAAGAGGCAAGGCAGGAGTCAGTGCTGGGAGCCAACAGTTTCTCTTGCACCCACGCACAGAGCCGGTGCATTTTCTTCTGCATCATCCCAGGTGATAACAGCTTTTGCACACCTGTGTGCCCTGCCTGCTGTGCATTACCCAGCCCTGACTTGTCCATTATCCATTATCCAGCTCTGGAGATGGCCCTAAATTTTCATCTGTCATAGTTTTTGTCTGAACTTCTGGACATTGAATACAAACACTTGTGACATCCTCTTAGCCCACCCTGATTTCATCCTCTTTCCTTACCTAACCTGAACATTTTATTTTTTCAGTTCTTCTTTTTCACAGAATGAATCACAGAATCATTTTGGTTGGAAAAGAGCTCCAAGACTGAGTCCAACCTTTGATCAATCCCCACCTTGTCAACTAGACCAGGCCACTGAGTGCCACGTCCAGTTTCTTGAACATCTCCAGGAACGGGGACTCCACCATCTCCCTGGGCAGCCCCTTCCAATGCTTAACAACCCTTTCAGTGAACAAATTCTTCCCGATGTCCAACTTGAACCTCCCCTCGCACAGCTTGAGGCCGTTTCCACTTGTCTTATCAGTGCTTCCTGGGAGCAGAGCCTGACTTCCACCAGGCTACAACCTCCTTTCAGGGAGTTGCAGACAGTGAGAAGATCCCCCCCGAGCTTCCTTTTCTCCAGGCTAAACACCCCCAGCTGCCTCAGCCTCTCCTCATATGACTCACTCTCTAGAGTTTGTTTTGTTTCTGTCCTTATTCCTATTTTTCCTCTCGCAGCCTGAAGCGTCAGGGGACATTCACTGTACTTGTATTTAGCCACTAGGTGACACTACAAAACCCTTTATGCAAAAGGCTTCAGGATTTCACAACAGGTACCACACCCCGAGTTATCAAAACAATGCTTGATGAAGGAGGGCTAGAAGAAAAGGGGAAAAAGAGAGCTTTCTGGAAAGAAATATTCAGTATATAATACCCTTGAGTATGGGGGTTTCTCATAAGACAAATTATCTTTGAGTCTGTCATTGTATCTACAATTTCTGTAGCACACAAAGGAAACCTGAGCAGTGGCAGAGCAGGAGAAATCAGAATGCCAGAAGAGTCACAAGAAAGGCAGAGAACATGAGCAAAATTAACACCAGCTCCCTTTCTCAGGCAAGAAAAACAGGAGGCAGGTAAAATCCATTTTCAGGGCCAGGTGGAAGCCACACTAAACCCTATTTAACAGGAAGGAAAAGGCCAATGTTTGGGGGTTTTTTGAGGAAAAGGGAAGTGGCAGACCCAGGCAGCCAAGCTCACCCCATGGATGGCTGTGGCATGTTTGGTGGGTTTTCTGGGAGCACCCATCCATAGGTCCAGGGAAAACGTCAGCAGCCACTCAGGAATTCAATGCACCTCAGAGAATATATTTTCAATTCAAACCTTTTGTTTTTCCTGATCCATTTTCTTGAGGACAAGCCCTAGTGCCATGATATTCTTCTTGGCTGTTTCCAAAGGCAGGCTGAGTACACCCCAGGAAGACTAAAACACTCTCTCACCCTCAGCTATGTTGTTTTTCAGTTGCATTGCAAGGAGGATGGTGAAACTACCCTGGGCAATGACAGTGCAAGTTGTCCCATCAAGTTTTTACCTCCTTCTGATCTACACATTATTTAAAGGATGTTATTTCCATTTGCTGTGCTGCCAATTTAACCGCATGGCACTTAAGTGCTGGGGCTAAAGAACATTATACACATTAGGATTTATAAATCCTCTGAATTGTAGATAGTGATTCCAAAGAGGTTTTAAAAATGTCTCTGGCAAAGTGTATTTAACTGGAACCTGATAGTGCTTTTAAAACCCGTAGAACTTTCATAACTCACTTTAAAGGATACATTTCTGGTCCCCATAACCTGAAAAGAAAATCTGCAGATCTTTCTGGTCTCCTAAACTTCATTTTCCTTGGTTTCTAAAAATGCAACATTTTGGGTATTATTTTGCTGTAATATTATTTTGCTATAATATTTTTTGCCGTATCCAGTAGCTGTGCAACTACAGACTATACAGAGTGGCTCAGAGGTGGGAAGGAATCAGCACTAACATGTCTCGCCAGCTGATCCAACAAAACTGGAGCGCTGGAAAAAGGAATTAGTTCCTTATAATTGCAAGCAGTCAGTTTCTGCTTCAAAACTTGAGAACCAGGTAAAACTGACTCAAAACTTACTTTTGTTCCTTCATGCAATCATTTTATGATTTTTCCAAGCATACTTGCAGCTGTGATTTTCTGGATTAAAGCATCTGACTGAATAAAGAAAATACATAAATTTAAGTGTGCTTCAACGCTGCGCTGTTCTGTATCAGCCCCGGGGCAGAACGTGATGCTGAATGAGAGTGAGGTCAGTGGAGAATTGCTCCCTTTTCACTTTGCTAATCACGTCACTCTGGTTTTGTCACTGCTTTCCTGATGTGACAGCTCAGGGCCAGAGCCGCTCCACGAAAGCTGTGCTGCGCTAACACATCCGGAAAGGTGCGAGCCAGCAACGACCTCCGGGAAGCTGATTTGATATCCAAGAAGACAACACCACGCACAGATAAATGGATCACCCTTCTCCCTCCTTGCAGTTGTCTCTGACCCCACGCTGGCCTGACCTCTGCCCCAACACGCGCTGCTGTCGGTGCACCCGCTGCGTTCAGCGGCGTTTCAGTGCCAGGCTGTGACTCTGCACACGGGGAATTTAGGGAGGCCTCAGCAGGGTTTGAAATTCATACAATTATCAGCAGTGGATTTGTCATCACAGTTATCAAGGCCTCTGAATAAACAGACAGAAAAGGGGAGATAAGGAAGGCAATAAAGCAGTGCAGCATAACCAGCGGGTTTTCCAGGCACGGGTGCGTCTGAGCGAGCACCAAAGGAACAAAACTTCTGATAAATTCACTACAAAATTAGAAGAGTGATACTGTCAAAGGCAATGCCTGAGAGTTCTGAGAGTGTTAAATGTGCGGCGGATATCACGCTGTGCTTTGATATCCTGCACTCTAATCAGAAGTGAGGGCAGAGGTGACACGACAAGAAACCACTCCCTTTCCAGATCCGGGGCTACAGAAACAAGGATGAATATAAGAACTGTCAGCCTTGAGGTACTATGACAAAAGGTAACAGCAATCATACAGTTAATTAATCTAGTGCTGTGCAGGGCAAAGATAGCAGAGCTCTTTGCAAGTTCCATTGACTTTTCACCACACCCCTGGAGGAAATCAATAATCCAGTGCAACTGGGTATGAGAAGCAGAGGACATGGAGGCACCAGAGAACCCCTAAATCCTTATCTCCCTCTAAAACACAGGTCTACACTCATCCTGCAGTCTCAGACCATCGAGGGAACTCAGACCTCACAGCTGTGCCACAGGACACACATGAGCCTTCATGGGAGAAAGACCATACACGTGGTTTCTTTGAGACAGGTAACAGGTCACATCCTTATAAACCACTTACTTCATCAACAAAGAGCTGTGCAAAGGCTTGATATTCCTCACTGCTGGTATTGCTAAAGCCTGGGGAGTATTCCACGTTTGTTATCCGAACTGTGCCACTAAGCTTCTGGACAGCTGCAAAGTAAGAAAAAAAAAAGACAGCTTAAATTCATGTTCTGTGGATTGTAGCCCATGGACAAGGGTATGACAGTCTCCAGCATTCCTGGCCACCTGGATACCTGTATTCATCAACTCATAACAGCAAAAAGCCTGAAAGGTATCCAAACCCCCAAAAGTCTACATATAAGTCATCCAGCACCTTAGTCTGCCCGGTCTGAGCCCCAGATGACTTTCAAGAGGGCACTGACCTCCTGTAAGTCTTATATCTGCCAGCTCTGCCTGGGATGCTCAGCTAGCTGTCCCACCTGTCCCTCCAGAGAGCAAACCACTGCAGCACCAAGGTCCTCCCTGCATCCTCAGAGGAAGGTTGGGCAGCTGCCTGAAGTTGGGACAGCTGTGGTGGGATAAGATGAATGCCAACAGGGTGTATTCTTTCCCCCTGAAATCACATCACATGAAGGCAGTCTCAAACATTTTAGGTTGTTTCCCGATATCGCTGGTTTTCCCAACACCTCTGGGTTTGGCATTGTTACCACAGATACTGGAGGTGATCAGAGGTCAGATAAAAGGGCTCCTCAAGACACAGCTTTGTACTCTTGGCATCCTTTTAGTGGCTTGCCAGGCAAGCTGAGTGCCATCACTCAATACTGTGACCGCTGCCAGCAGCTCTTCCTCCCTCTGCCTCCCAGCTGCTGACAGGTCATCACCCCTGGCACACCAAGATCTAATGTTACAATGGTTTATACAAACATGGGAGAGTCTTCACCCAAAACCTCAGGAATTCTATTATCTGATTCAGTTTAAGGTAGTTTGTGAATCAAGTTACAAGTCTTTACTTCCTGGTGTAGCAGCTTGCTTTGCTCCCTGCACACACCCAGCTGCATTCCTACACTATATAAGGCACCAGGTTCCAGCTCTGAGACTGTCAGATTCCTATATTTTTATATCCCATATTTTTGAAACAGCAAGAATTGTAAAGCAGGGTTCTGCATAAACTCTGTGGGCCACTTTACGTCAAAGCTGGTTCTAGTCACATTGGGAAAACAATCATTTGAACTGGGATGGGAAAACTGGAAAAAAAGAAACAGTAATCAAGTAAAGCTTTGCAGGGGAGAGGAGAAATGCCTGCTTGAAGTGAGCCACTGAAGGAGGCTTCCTTTATCCCAGCATACTTCTGATCCTGAAGGAACCCCCTCCACCAGCAGTCTGATCCAAGATTTTGGGCTTGATTTTCACTATGGCTTGTGTCCTGTCAGGTGAATATAGGCATCTGAGGGGTGAATCACATTCAGTTATCTCAGGTGAGAGAAGAAAGTGTTCTGAATAATTCTCAAATGAAAAAAAAATTAAAAAGTCAGTATTTAAAAGACATGACAGAGTATGAAGAGTTGGCTGAGGTTGAGCCTCCAGGTCAGAGATGATGCCACAAGGAGGAGCTACATATTAAACTCCACCAAACATGGATTTTTGCCCTCTAAATTCCTGCCCCAGGCTAGTGAGGTGCCACCGTGGTGGTTCTTGCTCTTGTTCGTCAGGCATAATCCCTTCACAAGCTTCATTCCCAGCAAAGGCACTTGGCTGAGTATTTGATTCTTCAGGAAAAAAAAATCAAAAAAACAAAAAAAAAACCCAAAAAACCAAAAAAACACCCAAACAGGATTTTTTATAAACTGAACTTGCACAGGATTCTTCAATTTGTTTTCCAGCTGAAAGAAAATTACCTCTATTTTTTTGTCAGTTAAAACTAGCTATTTTGGTGTTTAAAAAAGGAATGAGGGAGAACCAGAAGCGGGGCTGGATGAGTGGAGGCCACCAGAAACAGATCATAGGGGAGGGAGAGAGCAAAGAGCAGAGGGGAGTGTGTTTTGGGATCAGAAAGATGAGGAGGGCATGGAGAGAGAATAAAGACAAGCAGAAAGAAATCTGAAATAACTACTGAATAGCAACACACTACAGAAGAAAATACATTTAGTGATGGGCAGAGACAGCAGCATTCCTACCCCAAACAAAGCTGTAATTTTAAAGACCAAATCTGACTGTAACTTTGAAATATGATTCAGCCCCGATCAACAGAAAAATCCCCTAATTAGCAGCAACACATCTGCCCAAACCCAAACAGATTAATCCCTCCCCGGCAGCCTTGTTATTCTCAATTACAGCTCTTGAAAAAACATCTCACAGGTTTCCAGGCAGCTCCTGCCTCACAGGGGATTTGTGGGGGACTCTGACTCATCATCCTCTGGTGAGAGGAATAGGAAGGCAGGTCGTTTTCCTCTCTGGCTCTCTAAGTTAACTCTGTAGGCAGCTGCTGCTGCAGGGCCCTGGTGCCAGAGGATGCAAGAGAAACCAAGATGTGTGGGAGAAGGACAAGCAGCAAATGCTGTGATGAGCCACGTTTGGTGCATCCCGAGTGCTTCCTCCTATTTGTGCTTCCTCCTCTATTATGTGTTTCTCCTCTATTATGTGTTTCTTCCTCTTTGAGATGAAGAAGCGTAACACGGATAAAACCAACTGCCAAGTTGCCAGGAAGAGAAATCACTGTGACAAGCTGATTTAGGAAAAAAAAAAAGTGCCAACTCCTGCAGGAAAACAATTTTGACACCGAGAAACCAGTTTCAGACGCCTCCACCCCCGAGCTCTGATTCCAGCTGTGCATCTTTGCCGACTCTGAGTGAGGCTTTGCTCCTCGCACAGCCGAATTACCGTGGGTGTCGATCCCCACCGTACTCACTGTGATCCATGGCTGGGCCTGGCATCAGGCTGGGAGCTGGAGAGGCACCTGGAAAAGCTGGAGAGCCCAGGGATCTGGTGTATTTCTGCGACCAAGAGCTGTTCTCTCTTCCCACCTCCACATCTGATCCGAGAGCATTCCCCGTGGCCAGCGGAGCTGTGCGGGGGCCACCTCAGAGCTGGCCCGAGGCACACCAGGAGTTCTGGTGGTAGCAGAGGCCATTTGATTTGGAAACACCAGCGAGGTGGGGCTGAGTTGCTCTCACCCAGCTGTGCCCGTGGGTGTGTTTGTGAGAGCTGCCTCTCGCCGTGGCGCTCCAGGGGACGCCTTTCCCACGGAGCTTTGCCGCGATGGACCGGTGGCCGCCCCGCGCTCTGTGCTCACAGCCAGTGCCCTGCTGGTTGTGGTCCCCGGAGCTTTGGGGCTGTCAAAGCCCACCTGTGCTGCCAGACCTTTTGTCCAAGGGGCTGAAGGAGCACTGGTGGGACTGTGGGACACTTGTTTGTCACCCAGGGGCAGTGAAGAGGCCGCTGTCTCGGTGGCAGCAGGAGACGCAAGGCCTGCAGGGCTTCCTTCTTCAGGAGCAAACTCTGTGCTGTTTCTTGTTTCAGGAGCCATTGTTTCAGACAGAGGATCCACAATCTCACCTGCAACACAAGGATCACCTTTAAATGGGACCTCAGACTGGAAGAGGAAGCACCAGGGTCTGACCTGAAAATGGTACCAAATCTCCTCAACCACATGTTAGAACACTGCAGAAACAGGTCTTGGCTATTCATTAACACCCTGTAGCATATGGGGGTTTTATGGGGCTGAATCTGCCTTGTGACTACACAAAGAGGAAGATTTGATTCCTGGGTCTCCTCTTCTGTTTGCCAGGCCACGGACCATTAGAGTGAGAGGAAATTAGCCACAGGCACACCAAAAGAGGAAAAATTACTCCTTGTTGCTCATCAGTCAGTTATTTCAGAGAGATTTCATCTGAAGAGACATATATATATATATATATATATATATATAAGGTTCAAAGACAGATCAGATACAGTCTTTCAGCTAGAGACTGCAAAGGTGCAATTACATGAACAGATGCCATAAAAGCAGAGGTAAAACCCCACAACTTATTCCAACGTTTCATGACAGAGAAAAACTACATGTCAGTCTTTTGCTCACCCTCACAGTTCCTTCCAGGTCTAGATGGATTGGTATCCATGGTTGTCTTGCATCTGCACATGTAGGAGCCCATCAAATTGATACACTCTGCAAACACAGAGCAGTCATTCTCGGTGTGAGAAGCACATTCATCCCAGTCTGTAGACCAAAACAGGAACATGGATCAGAAAACCTCCCTTCTGGCTGCATTAAGATAGAAATAACCATGAAGTGGTCCTTTTTCAGTTTATTACTGTGGTCTTCCTTTTCCATCATTTATCTGTCAGCCGAGTGATGCAACATACTTTGTGTGTGGTTATTCTCTCAGATATAAATGTTTTGTTCTTGTACTCTGAAAAATATTTTCTCTGTGTAAAGAGTTTTTTAGTAATTATTTTTAGAAGTAAAAACTTACTTGAAATTAAAAAAAACCAACACTGTGGGTGTGTGCTGTAGCCATATCAAAGCACACACTATACCAAGTTCTGTGTACAGTACCTCCAGATACATCAGGAAATTAATAGATCTGTTACCACTAGCTACTAGTGGATAGAACATTAAATAAAGACTTAATCCAAATAATCTTCCACTTCAAATAAAAAGTAAATGCAAGTAACTCCCACGGGAAGCACTCTTCCATTCTTAACAAAGGAAGAGCTAAGGGCAAAATCTCTTTTTGTACAAGATTTCTTCTCGAATGTAATGCTGTAAAACTGTGACCTCCTTTCTGGTAGTCTCAAAAAATGGTTTCTGGTTCATCAATGCATGAATATGCTCTAAGGGTGTCCCTTATGTCTGGTTTCAGCTGCTGTGAATCAGTTAGAGATGCTTCTTTCATGCAATTATAGACCTATTTTAATGCTGAGTATCTTCACTCTGGAGGGATTTATATCTGGAGTCTTGTGTTGCCTCTCACACCCTGTTCCAGCAAGCCTGCAAAGGCTGAGTTAGTGCCTTGGACATGAATAATGTCAATGAATCCCACATGAACTCTCCTCTGTGAGCACTTCCCTCATGGATACACCTTCCCTGCCTCAGGGCTGTGAGAGACGGAGAGCAGCAAACCAGACTGAAAACTGTGTCTTGGGACAAATAATTCTAATCAGAGGCAGAAAATTGTTTTGAACAACACATTAGCATAAATGCTTGTTCTGCAAACAGGCAGAGATTGATGACTGTGATTATTTCTCCTAAACAAAGGAATGCCCCATTCTGTGTGCATGCCCATTACATGCATTCCTCTTCCTGCTTGCAGTCAGCCTTCCCCCTTTACTTCCTTCCAGCTAATACTTCAGTTCTGTTTCCTTTCTTTGTCATTACCTAATTGTTGTGTCCATGATAGCCTCCATTAGACAACTTTGTGTGCCTGTGGCCAGCATCTGCTTATTATATCACAGCCTAAGCCACTTAGAGGAAATGCACCAAAGTGCAGGATTGACTAAACACCAGCTATGAAAGTGCTCTCATTAATTCCTTACTGTGCTGTGGAGTAATTGTGACTCCTGATGGCTTCACACACCATCTGAGAGATGCTCCCGTGCTAATTGGCAAATAACTTACATTCCCTGCCTCCATTGTCTCTGAGGGTTTCCTTCCTCCTCACTTAGCACGGCTTTTTAAGCAAATTCCTTCACCTCTGATGGCCACACTCAGTCATGCATCAGGCCAAAACACTTCTGTCCTCACCTCAGCGCTCACTGGCACTAGTACATCACTCGTGTATTTACATACACACACACTGCTCTTTTTTCCTCTGTAACCATCACATCTCAGCCAAGGTGTGCCCTGAGCTCTCTTTCTGCTCTCTTGGCATCTCTCTGGCCTTTCACATTTGGCACTTCCCTACACACACACCCCTCAACCAACAGTCCTACTCTGAAAATTATAAATAAACCCACCTTTGGCTTCACTCTGATTACCCATTATACTTGTAAGGGACACATGCAATGGGTAAGAAATCTGTGAAATTCCTTGCCTAATGATGTTGCAGATGCTAAAGATCTGCATCATTTCACAGGGAACACACTGAGGAGAAACCCAAAGGAATCATTTTGGATTCAGGGAGTCCTGGAGCTGAAAACAGTTGGTGGCTCAGAGAGTATTGGGTGAGAGGCATCACCTTCACTTGCTGTACTCTTACACTTCTCCAGGAATTGGCTCCTGGCTGCTACTGAGGATGTGATATTGGGCCTGACTCACCACACATTCCTTTCTCTTTTCTTACCATACCTCTCACAACAGATTTCATTGTCTCTATTCATTCTGGCAATAAACTTAATAATTTATGAGTCTTCAAAGAGAGATGCAATTGCTCCACTCCCTTCAGCTGTGCTGTCCCTTCTGACTTCTCATCCCTGCTTTTCACAGCTGAATTCACTGTCACTAAACCAAGAGCAAAGCCTTGTGGTGGCCAGGCTCCACAGAGGATCCCAGTGAGGGATCAGAGGATCTGCGTGGGTTTTACTGCCAAAGGTCACGTCCTGGGGCTCTCAGGGGTCAGGAGGCAAAAAACATCCCGTTATACAAATCTTTCCTTCATGGGCTTCACCCTTTATTTTCCACATTTGACTCAGGAAACTCGTGTCAAACAAATGCTCCTTTGGGCAGAGCTAAGAAATAAACCCCTTTTCTCTGCCCCTAAGGAGGGAGTGGAGGAGTTGGCCATGCTCCTGGATAAGAGTGGTGCTACTGGAAGCCACTGGGTTTTCTGCAATCCAAGTGACAGTCCAGAGCTATTGCCTTCCTCCTCCACGCTCTTTCAGTCCCAGGATCAATAACAGTTGTAAGGTATTTTGGCACACATCAGCATCCTGCAATTCAATATCCGCTGCCACTCTGATATTTGTGGGTTTTGGGTGCAGTTTGTCTCTTCTGTTTTTTTCCTGTCCTGTTCTCCTCAACCACCATATGCCCTGCACCTTCAAAACTCCAAAAGGAGTTTTCCCTGTTCACAGTAAATAAGCTTTTAAGGGCTCAGCACTCTGGGAGAGAAGAATAACCCCTTCTGTTGGCTTTGGCAACTTTCTGAACTCTGGCTGTCTCTGCCAGCTGGGAAACCTGAAGCCAGAACTTAGTCCTTTGAAGATAAAAATGGTGATTACTGAAGATCAAACAAAGGCCTCATTTAACATAAATTCCATGTGTGTTTCTTTAGTCCTATTTACAGGAAGGACATTTGGGAATTCCTCTGGCTGGGTTTCCAGAGTGAAGATGTTAGATTTCTTTTCTTAAACCCTGGCCCAAATACAGCCCCACAGTCTTGAAGCACAAAACTGTCTAGAGGGCATGTGTATCCAAAGGCTACAAATATTCCAAAGTAATCCTATCTTCAATTCAGCATGAGAAAGATATGGCAAACTTCCAGCTGGGGACAGAGAGGAGAGGGAGGAAAATAAATAGGGAAACTAAGGGCTCAACTCCTAAAACACAGTGGAGGGAAGCAGTGCCTGCAGGTACCTGGGGACAGCCAATGTTCCTTTGTCTGACCCTTCCAGGCTTGTGGATAAAGCTCATGGAGGAGCTCTCACATCGTGGCTTTCCCTCCAACAAACCACATACTTTGCCTCCCTGTAAAGTACATTTTGAGAAGGATGCTGGTGATACTGTGTGTGATTAAAATGAAAACCCTGTTTTCTTCTTTGTAAAGATAATAATAATAATAATAATAATAATAATAATAGAAATAATTACCTCCTGGTGCGGTGTTTTCCTGATCCACCACAATCCTGGAACTGTTGTGCAGGTAGGAAAGCACTGGGGCAAATGTGGAGGCATTGACTGGAAACTCGGGATCCTGCACAGTGATTCTGAGCCTGACAATGACACTTCCAGCCTTCAGGGATTCAATCTGCACTTTCAGCTTCCCAGATTTGTACAAAGCAGAAATGTTGGGTGGAAATTAATTTTCAAGCTGAGCAAAGGGAGAGAAGCGTCGACAATTAGGAAGCCAAGAGGAAAACCTCCTTTAAAACTGAGCTGGGGTGCTACACCTTTAAAGATCTGTGTATGCACGACATAGAAAATGTTGTAAAGCAAGTCCCAAAGCATTTCAGAAATCTTACTTTTCAGAGATTATTGAGGCACAAAGTAATGTGAGTCTCCTTGGTGCACCCTTTGAAAATGGTATCCATCTGACAAACCAAACTTCCATGTTGTCTCAAAGGAGAAGATTTCCCTCTGGTCCTCTTTGCCTGGGCCAGAGCTGAACTGGCCCAACTCATATTAGCTCTGCATGTCACGTAAGTGTTTTGTCCCAAGCCTCCTGTGTACTCACCTCTGCACTCCCAGACTCTGGAACTGGATCATCTCCACTCTGACTCGACTGGTCTCTGGCTTGATTTTGACCACTACCAGCCAGGAATCCCCCAGGGAGGGTTTGACTCTTAAAATGACCCTGGGGCCAGTCCCAACAGGCAATCCCAGTGTGACCACCATGTTTTGGGAGACCCAACTGTGGGTGGCTCAGGAAGTGTTTCATTTACCAGTGTGGGCACAGATATAGTTCTGAGGGATTATCTGGAACTCAGCTAGTTCAAGTTCATCCTGCAGCCGAGTTGAATAATAAAGAAATCTCAGGGTGAGAGACAAGAAAAATGGGGGTGGATAACTTCAATAAAATGTGCTTGAGACAGCCCAGCTTCAAGGCAATATCACAGTTACACCATGGTTAATTACCAACCTGGTGAGCAGTCACATCAGCTGAACAAATGGCATTGCTCTGAACATTAAGGCCAGCACACTGCTGTCAATATTAGAGCTGTGCAGGAATTGGAAGTTTTTCCTTGCACCTCTAGAAGGCAGCTCCTTTTTTGAGCCTTTGTTCCTTCATACACCTCAAAGCATGCCTTTGAGCATGCACTGCAGAGCCATAAATCAGCACAGCTTTGTTCCCATTCAGTCAGAGCTTGCTCCAAAAAATTCCTACAAACAAGATCCTTTGACTGGTCTAAGCTCACATCGGGGTGAGGAGGCAAGAAAAAGAGGAGAGAGGAAGTGAGAGGGGGATGTTGTGCTCCCAAACACCCAGGGAGGCAGAGACAACACAAATGGGAAATGCTCCTTTTCCTTCACAACCCCATGCTGCCAATTAGATCTGCATTAGTCTCAGAGAAGATTCACTCACCAAAATCCTCCCACACGACAAAAGTGAACAATTTGCAGCTGTGGGAAATGAAACCGTGTCAGGAGGTTCAACCTGCAGTTTCTCATAAGGAGACTCCTGCTGCCTTTGAAACTAAAGCTCCATTATTGGTGGGGTTTTTTTCCCTCAGATTTAATTTCGCTTATGTTTATGAGTCACCCTTTGTTTTGGGAAAGTCTCGTCTTGGGTGTAGATCCCAATTCCTCTGTATGGGCCCTGTTGTCTGCAGCAAAACCATAGGAGATTGCTCCATCTGAAATCCCCTCCCCTTTTAGGGAAGCTGAGAGCTGGTAATAGGCTTCATGACTCAAGTTTTGTTTGATTACTACACCTGAGCATGGACAGTGGCCACAAGCGTGCAGGCAGTGAATGTGGCTGGAGAAGAAAGCCTGATCCAGCCACTTTTCCTAAGAGAAGAAAGAGCTTTGAGAGCAGCCAGACATTTATTGAGACGACAGCGCTGATATGAATGCCAGGAATGTCATTTCAATAATCCATTAGAAAGCCTCAAGTCAATTTAGTGTGAGTTCATTGCCAAACTAAAGATCCAAGGAAAGGAGCCCCTGTTGCATGCCTGCATTTATAATTCCTTTACTCTTCCGCAGGGGAAAATTCTCACTGGCTCCATCGCTAACAAGGCCAAGGGCTTGATCTGTCTAGTCAGTTGAATTTTGTTTTAATTATAAAGAAAGGTCACAGGAAGCAGCATGATGATTTTTGAGGGATATTTCAGCCAGGCATAAAATCCTCTAGTAGATTAAATGAATTTTAAATGGAAAAAAATTGTATTGCCCACAGATATTTTAATGTTACCTCTGTAAGCAACAGCCTTGAAAATTCTTCATGCGCTGAGCTGCTGGAATTATGGAAATCATCAGTGAAGTTGTAGTCGAGAATCCTCAAAGTGACATCAAATATCTGGGCCTCTGTAGGACACAACATTGAAACACACACTGAGAAAGCAGGAGAGGAAAGGATTCAGTGAAAATTGATGATGTACCCAGACCAAAATCTCACATGATGGAAACAGAAGGGAGAATGAAATTGATAGAGTTTGGTATTAAATAAGGAAAATGCAGCCAAAAGGCTGCTACAAGTTTCCTACACATTCAGAAGATGCACTTACATCAGCTCCACAGAGACTTTGAGGTGCCTGATTGCTACTGCATGAGAACTGGGTATGCACATACCTTTGTATGTGGGTATAGTCATATCTGGACATAACTCCTGACTTGAAATTACATCCAGGGTTGAATTGCCAGTAAGTTCATCTTTGGCCCACCAATCAAAATGTTTTTATTTATTTTCCTTGCCTTGGCAGTGTGGAAAATAAATATATTCTTAAATGAAAATATAACAAAAAGCAGTGCATGGCATTTCTCTGGTGAGCCCTGACAGGTAACATAAGGAGCACAGGAGCCAAAACCAAGAGCCAAGGAACCTGTAACTGCTGTAGCCTGTACAAACAGTCTGAGGCTGTTACTCTTTGGACTGATCTTTGGAAAACTTTTCTTTTTCTCAAGGGCTCCAGCTTCATACTCCGAAGTTCAGCCCTCTGTTTTCATAACCACTAGACCTCCTACTTTCCCCTCTACAAAGGGAGTAATTTCCCTCTGACCCAAACTGGAGTCATCCCTCATTGGATCAAAGGGAAGGTTCTTATGGATAAACATGAACAGCAGCATTCTCACTGTGGTCAGTAATAAATACTTCACTGCCTGCTCTTCAAAAAAAAATGGGGAGAGATTTATTTCTTTATTTGCATGAAGGCTTAGGAAATAATTTAAGGTCAAAGGAAAAGCAAAATTATGTTTGATCAACACACTAGGGCCTCAGGAAGCCACCATCACTGGTTAATTGAACCAAACTGGGCAGGTAGTCTGTAAGCTTTCTTACTCAGCTCTTGTTATTCCCTTTAATCCTTTATTCAGCTGAATCTGCCCTTCCTCTGGGCACTTTTGTTAGCTCAGCTGAGCCCTTGACAAACCAGTTGACTGGATTTCTCACTGGCCACAGGCATTAGCCAGGAAAAATGGGGCCTGATGGAAGATGGGAGGCAGCAGAATGCAGCACCAGGCACCAAAGGAAAAATAGAAGAATTCTAGCTTAGCCTGATATCTGTAATAGTTTAAGCCAGCTCCATCACTGCTTTATCAACTAATGCTTGATAGTCTGGCTTGGGTAAATACTGGGGTAGATGGGGAAGAAAAGTGATGAAATGGGATGATGATGGGAAATGTTGTTCAGGGAGGACCAAATGGATCATTGCTGAACTGCAGATGAATGGAGAGCAGCTTCAGGGAGAGAGAAGGAAGGAGAGAGGGAATATATTTTAAACTGTATACCTATTTTAATATATCTTCAAGTATATGCATATTTGAAGGTGTCTCTTTACCTGTTTTAACACTTTGACGGGAGATGATGGTTTTTCCACAGGTTTCATAGCTGACCTCGACTGAATACATCACACCTGCTTCCAGCTGAGACACATCCATTTTCATTTCCTCTGTCTTCAGGTCTTGGACAGTCTCATTGCCCTTGAACACTCGGACTTGGAAAGTGTGGTTCAGAGGAGAAGTGACATGCCAGGACATTTCAAAACTGTTGCTGGTAACGCTGAAGATTCGGTGGTTTGTCACTGCAGAGGGATCTACTGAAGTCCCAGGAAGAGTTAGCACAAAGAGAGCAACATTTCACCTCTGTGCTCTTCTAAGTGCTAGACAAGCACTTTGACAATCAATAGACTAAACATCCTCTTTAGGTCAGGGCAGAATCTGCCCCCTCACACTACTGGGTCCCCTCACTCATGAACCAACCCACTGGGGTGATTAATTTGGTGCTTACTCTTTTCATTTCCCTTTACTATATGTATTTGTGTTGACTCATAGAACCCTGGAATGGTTTGGGTTGGAAGGGACCTTAAAGATCATGCAGTTCCGACTCCCCTGCCATGGGCAGGGACACCTTTCACTATCTCAGGTTGCTCCAAGCCCCATCCAACCTGGCCTTGAACACTTCCAGGGGTGGGGCAGCCACAGCTTCTCCAGGCAAACTAATCTCCACTGAATGCCTAGGAACACTAATAACCAGGCAGTGAGCTACAGGTGAAAACAACAGCAGTAAGTTTGGAAGGGTGAGTCTGTGTACTCTACATGTGTTGACACCTGCTTTGCCTCTTGTCACTTTAATCATCAAAATGCGCCTCTTCAGGCAAAGGTTGTCTGGATTTATGCCTGGAAAACCCCACAGGCCCCATCTTGCAGAGGCTGGGGGCAGAGGGTGTGCAGCACTGCACCTGTTATTCCTCTCTAGTCCAGTGCAATCACTGTCATGCCAGTGGGAAAAGACAGGACCCTTCAGAGATGATTCCTCTCCTCGAAGGAGAAGGTGTCTAAGCAGGGTAGGATGAATTGCCCTCCAGCAGAGCCAGTCTGTCTCCACTAGCTAGAGAGAGATCACCTCTCCTGCAGACAGCTGGGGTCAGGTGAGATGAGCATCACCCCCCATGCTAACCCAGAGACTGTGTCATTCTGCTACCACAGCTTCAATTCTTTCATGCTAATGGTTAGACTAAGGAAGAAAGTTTGGGTTTGCAAGTGGCTTCAACAGGACATAATTCTTTCCAGGACTCTGAGCCAGGTGGTTGCCAAACAACCCTGAAGCCATAACCCCCTGCACTAGAGGTGCCTCAGTTTAATTCCTCTAGCTTCAGCTTGGATATGAAGATGTGGATGAAGATCAAGAATACCCAGCCTGTCTCTCTGAATTTAGCAAAAAACTACCGAAAGCTGTTTCCTCTCACAAGAAGGAGGGGGTGTTGTTAAAAGGACTTTGATAACTCTTATCTGAAAGGGATCTAAGAGTGACTGAATTAAAATCAAGACAATATTCTTTAAAATACAAGATTACTTACAGCACCCAGCATCTGTAGATTGGTTAGTTATGGACATGAGACTTGAATTCATTATAGAAAGAGAGCTGTTGCTGGTATTAATGGCATCTACTGCTGAACTTGGAGGAGATGCTGCAATGCCTAAGGGAAGATAGTATTATCAAAGAGTTAGAGTATTCCTAACAAAGCAAATCCCAAATAATACCATTCCTGTTTTCCACAGCTGGAAAGCAGCAATAGAAGTAACATAAATAGAAAATAAGTGTATTATCATATCACAAAAGCATAAAATAATACATTATCCTAATTTTTGAGATTAAAGGATTGTAAAACTGTTCTCTAGCTAAAGTATTGAATCTGTAAGCAGTTACTCATCTCATTAACTTAAAGGCTATTAGCAGGCCCATTGATGTCTGGGGGCTGTAAGTACATGCCTCTACATTTTGCTGGGCTGGTACCACAAGGTATTATTTCACTCAGTGCCAAACTCCAGCTCTCTGCAGCAAAGGACTCAGGGACAATGGAGCTGCTCAGGGCAGGGATCACACAACCACTGAGTCTGGGCTGCACTCCTGTAGTCAAAATGGGGGAAAAAACCTAAAAATTTTTATAAATAACATCATTAATTGTTTCCCAGGAGGCTGGGGAGGTGTACTGACAGCGAATGATGTTCTGAGAAGCAGTCAGAGTCTGAAATTAGAGGTTTTGGCAAATGAGTGGGGGCATCTGAGGGTGAGACAGGACAAACAGCAAGGGACTGAAATAAATACACTGCATTTCAACCAGAAATAGGTAACAGCTGGGTTATGTGGCATCTCCTCCCAGCAGGAGGAGAAGGGGCACTGAGTCCTCCAGAAATCCTTGCCCTGCAGGTGACTCCTGTGACAGACAGCAAATTCCTGCAGAAACTTCCTCGGTGTTCCCCCAAGGTGAGATCTGCGTTTCTTACCTTCCTTCCTCCTGCTCAGCTGCTGAGGGATGGCATGGGCATGAGGGTCACAGCTGTAATAACCCTCCAGGTTTACACAGCTGCTTTTGTCAGGACAACCGTTGAGTTCAGCGTAGGAACATTCATTGACATCTAGGGAGAAGGAACACACCTTGCACAGACACTGATATCAGCATTGAGACTGACCTGCAGTGTGTATAAACCAGGCTCTGGGTATGATAAATTCGATGTAAATCTGCAGTGAGTGTTAAAGTGATCCTGGATGTACATGGATGCAATGAAATTGGAATCCTGCCCTTCCCCAAAGCAGTTACAACCCTCTCAAATTTTACTCAATTTCTTTGGAATTAGAGGATAGTTAGGGGCAGCACCTGCTTACAGCTGCAGGATGTCATCCAAACCTGAGAGATGCAAGCAGAAGAGGAAGGAGACCTGCTGAAAGTGATTCCACTGAAAGCTGGACTGAGTAAACACAGAATAAGAAGCACTGAAAGTGGTGCTTACAGATGCACTTCAGGAATAAAAATGTTCAGACAGCTACACAGTCATAAGTAGATTCACAAAACTTAAAATGAAAATATTGAAATGTTTACCTAATATTTAAAAAGCAGGTAGTGATACCTTATAAAAATTAATAGATTATCAATATGACTTGTTTTATGCAAGCTACTGATAGCAACACATCTATGGCAACAGAGTATATCTGCTTCCCAAGAAAACACTTTTCTTAAGGGCCTGTTTAATACAACTAATTATTGTACTACAAATATGGACAGCTTTGCTTTTTCATCTGAAAATGGGCTGTGCTATTGCGAGAAAATAAATTTAATTGAGCATTCAGGAGCATTCCCTTCCAAACTATTCAATCTAAAATTATTATTATTATTATTATTAACTACAACCCGCTCCATCCTTTAATGGAAATGTCAGGGCCATATTTACAAAGTTTACAAGATCTGCTACATAATCCTTGAAAGCAAATTAATAGTCATATAAATGACAATGCAAGAGAAGGGGGATGAAACCCCCTAAAAAAAGCTTTCCCCCCCTGTGACAGGATTGTAATCAATGACCTTGCACTTGTGTGTCTATCACTTCATACACCCGTTTCACCACATCATCCAGGGAAGAAGAGACCTCAGCCAGCAGGGCCGGCTGGTGCAGCCCAAGGAGGACCTGGGAGGCCACTGTCCCGGCGTATATCCCTGCAGGATTGCTCTGGACGTGGTGCACAGAGGCGTTCAAGGGCTGCAACGCACCAGTGATCTGGAAAACAGGGGAACAAACACCTGAGTGCCTCCTTCATTTCTCAGCGCGGCTGGGGGGGTAAATTATGCAACGATTGTTATCATAACCTGAGTGCAGAAAGCACCAAATCAGAAAGCATGGCATAGTGGTAACATCTAGGCCTGTGTTTATGCACTTTTATTATCACATTTCACAACTAATTTTATATCATAGTAATGCCAAGCTGAGGGAGGTGTGGATGGAGCTGATCTCAAAACGCTTAGGCAGAAGGATGTAATCCAGGAATATGTGGGAAAAGTCCTGCTTTGCAAAGTCTCAATAGACCTGCATTACACATGCTATTACAATTCATCTGTAAAAGAGCTGTCCAACGCTTCTTACCTTCAACAGCTAAAAGGACTGCTGGCAAAGGGAACAGAAAGGAAAAAGAAATATGCAATAGACTGAGAGGTGGGATTAAGGGCCACAGAGAGACCAAGTCACCCCAACTGAGTGTCAGGAATGAGAGAAGGGGCATGGTGGTGGGCCTGGAAGAAATTCCTCTGAATAGCAGCTTGTTTATAGTCCCTATTTCTCAAGTGTTTGACTTTGACACAGCTTGTTTTAGACCAAGACATAAAAGTCCTTTTAGATCCTTGCCCTCTGTTCCTTACTGCACAGTGACAGGACCAAGATTTCTTGCTTTTTCAGGATATGAGAAGGGGTAATTCAGGTGGAGGAAGAGCTGCACCCATGTTGCTACCATCATTTCCATTCTCCTGCCCATCAGTGATGGCAGATTATGGCAAATGGGTTTCCTTCGCTATTTGCCCACTCCCAGCTGGAAACTGGGGAAGAGTAGAAATAAAAATGTAGAGAATTAGAGACCTGCCTTCTTGGGTGCCTTTACAAAGGCCATATCCAAGCCTGCTTTTCTCCATGGCATGGTGATATGTACTAGGGAAATGCTTGGGTTTGTGGCTTGAAGGGTCCAAGTTCATCAATCCATTTCCTAAGTACCAGAAAGAGCCTCCCTGTCTGAGCAAGCTTTAGTTTGTGGTCTGGTCCCTCCTGCAGACCCTCCTTTTGGGAAGTGTGCCTCACACCTCTTCCAGGGCTTTGTTTTCCTTGGTTGCCTGGGACTCTTCCTACCTGATGTGTTGGGGACAGAGACAGAGGTACTGCAGCTGATCCATGCCCGAGGCAGAGCCTTGGTCCTACAGCAAAGATAACACCCTGCTGCCTGCCCCAGCCCTGATTCTGGTGGCAAGATTGACAAGGAAACACCCTTGTCCCAACACAGTCCCGTGCCCTAATCCTGTTTTTTCACAGTGAAACTTCTGGCACTGCCGAGTCCACCTGCCTTGTGGGTCCCAGTGCCAGAGATCAGCTTTAACTTTGAGAGATTTAACTCAACACTCCTTATCACACTTTGAAGGTCTTGACATCTGGCCCAAAACTGAACTCAGACAGTGCTAAAGCAATCACTATTTCAGCAGGAAAACCCCTATATTTCAGGATGTCTTTAAATTTCCCGTGGAAGAGACCTGAAAAATTTACTAAAGGAGCTGATAAATCTACATTACCTGAATTGCTTAATGATGCAGCTGACATTCAGTAATCAGAGATACACCAGGGCCAAAAAAATCAATCTGGCAGAAAAGAGGGGGAGCAGGGGGTGGCCCCTGAGTAACAGAAACGAGGACACAACGAGCAGCACACGGGATCTGTTCGTGTCTGTACATACCACGGAGTGCAAAAGGCGGGAATGATTCAGAAGGTGGGAATCCACTCTGATTAGTTCATTAAAATCCATTTTCACAAGCACTGTCACGTTGTACCAGAACGTTCTTCCTGAAGTGCACGAAACAAAGCAGCCAAGTCATCTGAGGTCTGATGCTATGGAAAGCAACTGAGCTACAGGAGAGCTCTGAGGGAACAAAGCAGGATTTAACTTGGCAAATACGAAGGGCCCAGGTACAGCCCATCACCTACTGCCTCCTTTGCCATATGCCACCTCCTTTGCAGGTGCCAGCAAAGGAGAAGAAGCCAAGGAATGTCCACTGGACCTGCAGCACCCCCACACTGCTCAGTGCTCAGGGGTGCAAGCACTGAAGCTGAATATCCTGGAACTGATCCAAGGCAGATTCCTGTATTTGTTTTACGAAGAGCTATGGTAACAGTTTTCCTGCCCACTCCCACCCTCAGAAGGAAAAATTAAGCATATTTCTATTAGAAGCAGTCCTGAATTTATCAGGAACATACCCTCTGGCACTGGGTCCACACAGCCTGCTCCTTTGGATGAGTTGCAGCATTTTTTGAGCCCTGGACACTCAGCATCGAACGTGCAAGGGTAATCAGAGGTTTCCATATTCTCCATTGGACAAGTACCAGGTCTTGAGGCAAATACACTGGATCTGTCGAGTGCTAAGTAACAAAAGCATTTCTGAGAACAAAAATAACGAAAATTTCTTTCCACAAAATTGTGCTATTTACTTTACAGCAAACACCTCCTCCTCACTTTAGAAGCGTGTCTGTTCTGTTCTGAGGTTCTCACGGGGAGAAAACAACAGCCTAAAATACCATTATTTAACTCCAAGGGCGCAAACGCTCTCAGGTTCTTCTCCCGCTCGTGGCATTTCTGCTGCAGAAATTCTGAATTTGTTACTTTCCGTTAATAATTACTCTGATTTTCGTGGCACGAGGCTGACCTTCGGTGACAGTAACTTGCAGGTGCTCCACGGGAGCAGAGACAGGACGTGGCTCTCAGGTGCAGGGGAGTGGGTTACGCAGAAGGGCAGGAGAGCAGAGCTGAGCCCGTGGCTGCAGCCTGGCAGCACCTGCTCTGTACCAGCTGGCCACTCCAGGAGGTTGGTAGCCCGTGCCAGAGAGCCCTGCAGAGAGGGCAGCTAAGGCAGAAGGTTGCTGCCTCCAAGCCAAGGGCAGACAGTGGTCCTGGGTCAGTTCCAGGACATGTTTCTCTCCAAAGAGAAGACATTTCTAAGCCTTACAAAACGCAGCTCCAAGTAATGCCCAGCTCTGGTCTTTCTAACCCACCTGAAAGATTTCTCTTTTCCATTCATCCTGCACCTACAGATTTTTGATCAATTACTGGGCAATTAAAGCCAGCCAGGAGGAAAATGAACCTGATTCTTGCAACGGAAATAGCTGTGGTGCAGAAAAACCACTTCTGACACAATAAAGACCATAGAAAGTGAAAAGCCCACAACAAACTATAAATCCATCGTGAATCATCAGTTCTGTGGGTTTACAGTTTCTGTTATCCCAAGACTCTGGATGTGAGGTTTCTGAGAAGCAGAAGGGGATACTGAATCTAGGACTTTTGGCCTCACTGAATTAACCTTCTTAAACAGGGAAATTATCTCAATTAATCAAGATTTAAACTAAATCTATGTAACTTGCTGCCACATGCATATTCCTGGGTCCCCACCACCACCACCTCCTGCCAGTCTATGGGAGACTGGAGGCTACTGCAAGCAGAGAGCCTCAGCTTTTTAGCACATTCCCTAACAGATTTCATTTTCAGTACTCCAGATCCCCAGCTCAATCTACAGTTGAGGGATTGAGCTCAAACTACGACCTGCAAAACTCAGCATTTGCAGTTTTCAGCCATTTACGCAACTGGACATACAGAGATATTTGCACAAAGAATTAGACTTCTAAGAGCAGTGATCTGTGTATTTCTGAGGGCCCACAGTATCCTTGTCAAGGGTCTCTGAAAGGTAACTAAGAAAAGTAGGCATAATTTAATGATGGGAGTCACCTCCACTGGAAAACCTTCCAAAATCCAAATGCTGGAACAGGGAAGACACTGAGCTGAGACGTCTCAGTAGGATGCAGGTTATTTTGCACATGTATTTTTAAAGACCTGCATGCAGAGCACATGGGATGGCACTTCCCACTCTGTTTTGCACTGTACTTCATCCACTGTGTGTGTTTTGTGTGCACACAGCCAACGAGCACAAGCTTTAGCAAGGCTTTGAGCATCTTTCACAGAGAGTTGCTGTGACACCCACAGGAGCTCTGGGCAGCAAATTAGGAAACTCTGTCCCTATTCCCAACCCCAATGAATGTCTGGCTGCCCTAAAGGGAGCAGGATTTATCCTGTTAACTAATCCAGCCCATTATGGGCCTCTTCATGCCTGCAAACCAAGACCACTCGCTCCCTTTAGTCTCTCACAGGACCAACTCTGCCCCCAAAGTTCACTCTGAGGCATAGGTCTCATAGGATGAGGAAAAAAAAATCAACCCTGTGAAATCTCACTCGAGCTACTTCTGGGTCCAGCAAGTCCCAGGAATCCTTTTCTGCTTCCCAGTATAGACCAGGAACCTCTGTTTCTGGCTCTGGGGCTGGCATTATGGGTTGTTCCCCCAGGCAGATCTTAGTCCTAGAAATATTCTTCTTGATTTCCAGTCTAAAACCACAATAAGGTGTGATATGGCCTTTGACGCCCTTAGTTGAGTCTCCCAGGCATTTCCAGTCTCCTTTCTATTCCAAACCAGGTAGATCTTGGTAAACTGGACCCAAGCATGTAAATTCCTCCAGCTCTGAGATTCAGGTGCTGTTCAAGCAGGTTTGAGGTTCAAAGCAGCATTTTTTCTACCTAGGTCTTTCTTTTTTTTTTTTTTTTTTTTTTTTTTTTTTTTTTTTTTTTTTTTTTTTTTTTTCTTTTTTTTTTTGGTTTGTTTAACTGCAGTGTAAACGGCTTAATGAGTCACATGCCATCTCAGAAAACACTATTGAATCCTGGCCCAGTGCCTCCCTGGCCATTTATCTGAAATCAAAAGGTCATCGTTTTCGGATCAGCGGAAACAGGGATGGATTCACTTCTCATTTCTGCCTAATTGTACCAGATGCACTTTGAAAATTCAATTTATGCTCTCCACTTCAATAACGCTGGGGACAGTCACCTACCAAGCGGCACTGCCAGCACTGGGGAGCAAGCCAGCCAGCTCCTCTGTCAGTTGGATGAAGAACAGGCTTTGCTCCTCTGTCATTCACATAAATGTATGGAAACAGAGCTGCAGCACCCAGTGCTTAGCAACCAAAGGTCAGCCACCAGCCTGCCCACTGGAGAGCCACTGGACCTGCCGTGGCTGCAGGAGGGAGGGATCTCCCTGGAGATTGATGCTGAAGGAACCATTATCTCAGCCATGATACCCTCCCTCTCCCTCCTTCCACCTGCAGGGGACAGGGTTCATCCAGAGGGGACCAGCACCCTTCATTCATCTCAGGTCTCAGAAGGTGGAGACAAACCCGTGAGATTATAGAAGGAGCTCCTGGCAAAGCCTGTTCCAAAGGCAGGCTGGCAGTTTTCATCATATGACCCTGTTCTGTGGGACTTTGAGCACTGGTAGGCTTTACCTGCTCGTGTGGATGTTTTCCATCCTGATTCCTTCTCCAAGGGTTAATTGGGTTGTGCGTTGGTCCAGCATCTGACAAATATTTAACACCCTTCCCTATGGAAAGCTCTATCATTCTATCACATTCAGAAGCCACGGGCTGAAATCTGGCAAGGATGCAGCTGTTGGACAACGAGGGGACCATGGCCTTTGAAAAAAGACTTGTAAGAAAAGACTACTAAAAAGACAAGGACTTTTGTCTTGGAGAAGGGAAGGCTGAGGGGGATGTGACCAAGGTTTACAAAATCCTGAAGGCAGGGGGCAAGGTGAAAGCAGAGCTGGTTTTCACCAGAGCCCACAGTAATAAAATGGGTAAAAGCACACATTTCTTTACCCAAACGGATTGTGGAGGCAGACATTGGGCTCAGAAAGGGACAAGGCAATTCCCAGGCAGGATTCCCATAAGCAGACACCACAGGGAACAGGTAGGGACAGACACTCTGACGCCCATAATCCCATTTCTGCAGCTGCTGAGGGCACACAAGGGACCCAAAATGCAGTGCAGGGAGAGACACCTGCTCCTGGGTGAAGTTCCATGGGGCATTTTGGCACCATCCCACCCCAGGCTGATGCTGTGACGCTGCCCATACGTGACACCAGCAGACCATGGCTCCCTGGCCAAGCACAGGGGACAGCTCCAGTTGGAGCCACCATGGGAATGTCTGCACACTGGCCCTAAAAGGTCCCAGCCCCGCTGAGGAGCTCCCTGGGCACCAAAAATGAACATTTTTTACTTGACAGTGTTTTTCCTGAAAACCTTAGGAAGTCATGCACACAAAGCACACTCTTATTAAAGTGTGACCTTAACACTGCAAATCAAGCACTCTCAACTTCAGGATTAAAGGTGTCTGGGACTTCTTATTTCAGGGTGTTTTTCATGGAGGTAACAGATCAACAGTGTGCTTAGGGAACTTGAACTAAAACAGTGTTTTATAGAACATGTGTGCTTAAAAACCAGGGTTCATTGCATGCTGATGCACTCTTTCCCTCCCTAGCTGGGGATCAAGCTGGGTTAGGTGGCAGATAAGAAGCTCTCTGGTTTCATCTTATGCTGGAAAGTGGGCAGGGAGCCAGCCACCAGGAGAAGTAACTATACCATCCATTCAAGCAGCTGGAAATTAGCCTGTCTCCACCTAAAAAACAATCTTGCAAGATTCTGGGAAAGCTTTGTAAGGTGAAACAACCTTTCAGAGCAGTGGGTTTTGTAGGTCCATGAGCCTGACTTGCAGCCCTCAACCTGCCAAGCAGTTATGGGACTGCTCAAAGTCACCACTGAGGATGTGAATCCCTGTGCCCCAACCACAGAAGTTACTAAAAGCAGCTCTAAGCACCCTGAAAAGCAAAGCAAATTTAGAAAAAAAATTAAAACAGCCCCTAAGGTGTCTGAGAGTGGGCACACAATGGATTGATCTCAGTATCTCTGCAGCTCAGTTGCCAGTCTGTGAAAGACAGAGAACCTCCCTCACTTCCCACAGTCTTTGTGAAGACAAATTGCTGCCTGTGAGTCCCCCAGGATTCACCTTAAGAGGTGATAAATAATTCTCTGTTCAGTGAGAGGCTCAGCAGAGCACTGCACCATGAGCTGAATGTGGAGGTTGAGATGAAATGTTGCTGGGGAGCTCCTTAGAGGGGCTCCAGCATCCCTGGGGACCACATGGAAATGTGGTCCTTGGGGCATGGCAGAGCTGGATTAGGTAATTGAAAGAGTTTATTAATCTTCATGGGCACAAAGAGAGAAAACAAAGGTTGTTTTATTTAATTAATTCTTTGGAATTAATTCTAGCACGTCCTAACTTTCAGATAATTCACTTTTCAGTTGTTATTTAAAAATGTCGAAGTCACTTTTGTGTGCATCTCTAATGCCATCCCAAAGGACAGAAAGGCAATCAGTGAGAACTACAAAGTCACTTGACTAACAATGTAGGTATATTTTCCCAACATTAAAGAAATAAGATAAGCAGGGCCTGCCATATCCCAGGCAGAGGTAAATGTTTCCCTTTAAGAAGAAAAGGTGAGGAGTGGCCAGGAGCAGGTTGCTGGGAAAGGTCATGGAGACCTTTCCACTCCTAGCAGGATGAAGAGCGTGACAACATGGATAACGTCAAGAAAAAAATAACAGCAGTTCAACAGCGTGCTGTGCAGTAATTTCAGCAGTTCCAGTTTCTCTTTTCATCATTTATTTAAGACTGTGTCTAGACAGCGCATTACCATTCACAGAATTTATGACTAATGCCCTGAAAAGCAAAGATACCGGAATAATGTAAACATGGGAATCACCTAGAAGC